AAACAGCACTCTCTTCGGCAAACGATGGTTCGGCATACGTAACACATGTCCCAACCAACGCAGCTTCTGGTGCTGGACACATTCTTCAATGGAAGTACCCGTTACACAACCGAAACCGCACTTTCTAACTACCTCGTTACGGATTCGCCGACACCAACCCACACGAGCTATGGTTCTGAGACAACGATTGTCGAACACCTGAAGACGTCTCAGTTCCGCTGCTCGAATAGGCCAAGTCTCACAGCCATACAACAAACAGCCGGCACTGTAGCTTGATACATACGTCCCTTCAGATTCAGGGATAAACCATTCTGACGCCATAGGTGTCTCAAGTTAGCAAACGCGGCCCAAGCCTTGCAGATTCGTGCATTCACCCCATCTGTCACACTACAATCAGACCTAATACAACTTCCGAGATATGTAAAATGCTCCACAACTTCCAGTACCTCTACCCGGGTTGTAAATGGCGTGTTCAGTGACTGCACGACCACACCTGGATCTAACTGAAGCCTGTCCCTTTTTGGGAAGCTTTGTTGTGATTCCAGATGGATAGCCCGTCCCAGGTTCCCGAAGCGATGAACGACTGTTCTCATTTGAACATCCCCTCTCCGGAAATGGCGCGAACATTCCAGCTAGTTCACAGCAAGCACGAGGGTACGGAATCGGATTGTCGTGGTAATCGTCCCGAATGGATTGACGACCGACTGACAAAAGGACAGTGGATCAGCTGTGAATGAAGTGAACGGAAAGCTTTTACAACGAATGAAAAATTTTCAGATCCCCACAAATGCTATTCAGAATTCTCCGGTGATTTCGTCCCCCAACAACGAATGTTGGTTTAATGAATAGTTGTCACAATTGTCGTTGCACTTTGCTATTTGCGAACGGAATGGACACACAGGACTCGCATTTGACTTCCTACAACTGGACACGCGTGATAAATACTCCTTTGAAAATCATGCTGATCAGTATTGAAGATATAGAGTAAGCTTTCCTTCAGAGGGGCGACATGGCTCAGTGTTTAGAGTGCGAACCATGGTTCGAACCCAACCTCTGCATCTCGATTTCCCCAGTCTAGGTTGGGGCAATCTGGCAGTATCCCAGCCATCCTGCTTCCTTGGGGTCCCATGGCAGCTAAGCGCTGAATGGGTGTTACAAATGGATGATGATTTTTCCATTTTTCCTTCAGAAGCAATTATTCCTTCAAGTTGGTAGTTACCGGTTACGAAAAAGGATGTGAGGGACCTGGGACAAATTTTAAAAGGACTTTTCAACAGCAAGCGATAAAGTAACACTTGGTTTTGTCCATTCATTAACTGACCGGCATGTTAAAAATCATTATGAAATTATGGTACAAATGCGAGTGCTTCAATATCCTTCTAAAATCCAAGCAAGTGATGGTGCTGCTATCGAGAGGAATGTTGGTAGCTTACTTGTAAACGCTTCATCAGTAACCGAGGCGCGTAGTCGGTTGGCAGTGCGTCGTAGTGTATCGGTGCCTACGCCCACCAATTCATGATGTCACCTCGGTTAGTGACGAAAGGTTTTCAACCAGATCGTCCAATTCAGCGAAGAGAACAAAGACCAAGATTATGGAACTAACAGTGACAAACGACGTGGTTTGTCTTCCTCCAAATCAAACGGATCGACGAAGGAGCAATGACAGGAGTTCTTTTTTTGTCAATGAACATCAGATTGTTCAACCAGGTTCGCAGAAGTGATGTCTCAATAGGCAAAGCAGCTGCGTTTTTTCGGCTCTGTTACTGATGGGATAACACCAAGTAGCCACGACTGGCTAATCGGAAAACGCACATGACAGTCTGCAAAGCGGTCAGGAAGTGACTCATTCAGTGGCTCGCATTACCAGTATTGTTCCGGTTGGGGATGAATCGTTCAGCTGTAGAACCCTTTCGATGCCTAGCCGCCATGCCAACCGCAGGAAGCACGAGGGATGGGATACTGCCAGGTTGCCTAAGCCTAGACAGGGGAAGTCGACAGGTAGAAGTCGGGTTCGAACCATGGACCTTCCGGTCAGTTAATTCGCATTCTAACCACTTCGGCCGTCTCGCCTTGGGATGAACAACCATCCCGAAGTTCCTAACTTCTCACCAGATGAAAACTCAGTGAATTGTTGTACGCACATGCCGCATGTGGCATTATGGTGTAGGCAAAGCAAGCCCCAATTTTACTGAAACTTCAAGATGGGCGCCAATGAAATGGAACTCTCCTTAATTTCCACGTTAACACACGAAGATAAGTCTGGCATTCGCCTTCAAAACCTCGAGGAAGTCGGACATTTCTCAACTAAAATAGTTTCGAAGAGATGAGAGGAAAAGTTTCAATGATACCGCGAAAAATCCGAGACCTGGTTCCATTTCTCTAGTTTGTGTGTAGGGGTCAGTTGCGCGCACACACATAGACACACAATTGGTGCGATGGAGGACTTAGCGTAGCATGCCGCTTAGATACATGTCAGAATTCCTTCAAACGAGAAAGTCGGCTGTACAAACGGACCAGTGCAACCTGATAGCCCTCGTTCAGTAATCTTTTCTTTTTTGACCATGAGGCACGACTACTGACTGACGGCACGACGGACTGACTAACTGATTAGTCACGTTTATGGGTTCTCTGTTTACCCTATCCAAACTTGCGCCGGTGTCAAACTGATGTGCAGTTGCTTTTTTCTGTAAACTCGCTCACTTTTTGCTAGCCAACGTCCAAGCTAAATAGACTATGATTCATTGTTAGTGTATGCACATCTGCGCCTTCAGGTCCTATGACATCTCGCAGGGCACACTGGTGCTAGGCTGGAAAACTGTGTAGTCCTGATCACGTGATGGTAAAAAAAACCCGTTTTTTTAAGGGTTCCACACATTGGCTGTCTTGTTCGTCGCCCGGGGCAGCTCCAAAGACACTGTCAAGTCCATTGTTCAAGTGCGATGGTCATTGTGGTAATGCTCGATAGTGTAACCTCGTCAAATTTGTCATCTGCGCAGAAAAAGTAACAAGCAATGTTAAATATGCCCTTGACAGACCTGGTACATAGTGGAACACATGGTCTGTTTCTATCATCCCTGTGCCTCGTAAAACCCAATTTCATCAGTTTGTACTTTTCAGGTTTACAAAAGACTAATGGAACCAGTCAAAGTCTGGCCAGAACCCGTATGAACATATGTGCATAAAAACATTAAGAGTTTATAGGGAGAATTCCGTGCGAGTGGTTTTCAAACGTGTTCCTCACGAGCAAATCATGCTGCTTATGCGAAGTGCCTACGTGTCATGGTCGCTCTCTGTCTGTTTGCACCATATTCGCATTAAAAGTACACAATATGTTAGCTGATGAGTAGAGCCTGATATCCGGGCTGTCCACCGATGGGAGAGCTTTCAGCTACAATTTTTGCTGTAGATCATGGGAGGACTAAGCAGTCAAGTCACTTTACCCAATAGTTATGGGAAGATATGAGACCAGTCGGCTTTGTGGATAGCAGACCATGTAGCCCAACAGGATCAGCGTCGTGGGTCACTAGGATACTCACCCATTCACCTACTAAGCGTAGCCGCCCCACACCGAAGGTTGACAACACCATTAGACTAAAAGTTAATGGAATACCATCAATTTATCCATTTCCACCTTGACGGTGTGTAGGTGGGCGTGTCCCGGTAACGGTTACATTGTACTGCGAAATTTGTGGTAGTACGTTGGAACGACGGTAGATGCCGGTACCTTGGTGATGGTTGACCCGGCTGATGGTTTCCGCATATTCGCCATGTTCTCGGGTCAACCAAAACTGTCTATAGTATCGAGGCGAGACGGCTTAGTGGTTAGAGCGCAGATTTACTGGCCGTGGTTTGAACCCGACCTCTGCCTCTCGACTTATCCTGTCTAGGCTTGGGCAACCAGGCAGTATTCCAGCCCTCGAGCTTCCTTCGGGTTGCATGGCAGCTAGGCACAGAAAAGGTGTCACAGCTGAACGGTATGATGCAAAGGACCAGGTTGCTCTTCAGATAATCAAGCCTTATATGGATTTCTTCTGTCAGTAGAAGTATTTTTTACTCCAGGCCTTTGTTGGAATGACATTCATACGGAAGCGCACGCGTTCAGTTTCTTCCCAGCATTTTATCGATCGGATTGGGCACGTACCATTCAAAAGAGGGCACGGTTTAACCCTACACGCCTTCTGTTCGATCCGAGAAGATAAACATGCCCTATCCTGGTGAATAACGCAACTGTTCATGTTATTCTGCCGGTAATTAACGGAGAATGGTTGAAAAGTGCTTTCTGCGATTGGCCGAGTTTTGACCCCGATACAGAACAACTAACAGAGCCGTATCAAGATGAAATGTTATCACAGTAGTATGAACAATTTGTCGTACTGTGTATACGTACTTTTGACTTTGCTCCTGAGGTGAATGTTGACAGCTCCGATAGCACGGATGTTCTTCCGTGGCAACCACTGCCGACGATGTCACCTCAAATGGTGATAAAGAGCTTGCATCTGGACTGTCTAATCCAGAAAACGGACTAGCGACCAGATATTTTATTTATTTATTCAGTTGATTCATTTTAATCTATCAGTTTATTATTTATTTATTTATTTATTTATTTATTTATTTATTTATTTATTTATTTATTTATTTATTTATTTATTTATT